TTCAGCCAGTGCATGTGTGATTATATATTTGGACTCCTTTTTCTAGCCTTTGTCCGAGTGGATTTCTATTGTCTACTTTCAATTCCTTTTTCCTTTTTTTTTGGATGCGTCACAATAAGATTTTCCTGATCTCCCTCTAAGGCTCCGTGGAATTCGAATGACCCCTCACCCTTAATGATTCTTATTGCCACTCAATTTTCTATAGACCCTTTTCCCTCGATTTTGGTAATGCTAAGACCGAAAAAAAAAACAATCCTAGGCTATATATACAGTTATTATTTTTTATTGAGTAGAATCTTTGAGGTCTGCTTATAAACTCCAGACTGACACACCAATCTCCACCAATTGCTTTTATTGCTCAGTTTATTGTTCTGGTTCACACAAACTTGTCCTTAAAAGTCTAACTTCACTGTGACACTAAAACTACTGCAGGTCTTGATGAAGGCCACACCTTTAGAAACTTTCACTTTTCAACGGTGCTGTAGAGAAAAAGAAAAACATCCACTTGCGTTATTTGCTATACTCGTATTTTTGCGAAAGATCTCGACTCCTTACCCCGTTATCAATATGTCGATGTTTGTAACATCCTTTCACGGATCTACGATATGTTTAATATCAAGCAAAAGGAGTATAATGAATAATATGTATACACACGTTTTCAAAAACGTTGCAATTTGAAAATATACATGAAATGCATGTCTTTTGTTTTCTCATCAAAGAGACACTTTTTGATCACGGATCACTGACCAACTGATCAACTAAGATTCCCTTTATAGGCTGGTCGTTCAATAGATATACTTATATATATATATATAAGTTTAACTTCCTTGTTCTTCATCTAAGGGGTGATTTAGAGTTAACAACTGAGTTGAAAACTTAAATTGGCCACTGTAAAGAGTTCAAAGGCTGACGTTTCGAGCTTTAGCCCTTCGTCAGAGCGAAAAGTTTTATACTCTCCCACCGACGTAGCACCACAGTTTCTTTTGAAACGTACCCCCTTTATCCTTAATTTAAAGAAGTTGTGCTATTCATACGTAATGCTGTGATACTGTGAGATGATAAAACCACTGAGAAGTATAGTTGGGAAAGTGAGGCTTGAAACTTCGTAAAAGTTTCATGGTTTGGATTTCGCAAAACGTAGTAACAAGTGGGTTGGTTAATGATGTATTTTGACGAGATACAAAAAATCTTCCTGATAGTCACATTTTCAATCAGGTCTTGTTGTATGCAGTTTGGCTTAAATTGAATAATATCGATTGCGCGGTCATCGTTTTCAGTATTTTTTTCTTACCAAGAGCCGTAGCGCGTGTGACACATACAGCACTTCAGGCCATTACACATCGCCACGTTTGCTGGTATAGTGATGGACAACTCTCCTGTCTTACATTTAGATCGACATTTTCTGGAGTAGGCGCCTTCTGTTTCAGCGCCGCTACCACAGTCGGCTTGAGAAAGAAGATTACAAAACAAGTTTCAGAATACTTATCAGCGATAAACTCCACAATGTAGTACGTTGTACTTACCAACTACAAAAGAAAAGATCTAAAAAGACACTGGTTTGAACTGCAGTTTGAAGACCTTCTTGTCTACAAGTTCGATTGGGACAAACTTGGGGAATGTTTGTTATTATTAAATATATCGTTTAAAGATATCGTTCTGTCAACTTGTACGGAAAAATTTGATTGAACACATCATGCAGCTGTTGGCTCCTTTTGATAGGACGAGAGTATTCATGCATGCTGTGTAATGAAAGAAAGAAAGAATCCATGTGTATACAAAAACTGGTACCATGCACATCATTGTGTTTTAAAATTAACGAAGTTTGGGAGTGCAGAGCTACTTACTAGCTCGTTTGCGTAAACTGCTGTATGTGCCGTCATCTAGGGAAAATTCATCTTCCCTGTGTATATGTTTGGCCATAACACAAGCTACTTGGACAATGACAATAGCCAGGAGAATCTTCTCAATGCAAGTCATGTTGATCGCTGAAATGCCAAAACAAAAAAGTTCAATTGAGATGCAAAAAAAAAAAAAAAATCACATAATGTGCGAAATCGGAGGACGTCAGTCTTTACTTTTTCTCTTCTTCTTCTTTGAGAATAAAAACTAATTGAAGTGTCAATCCAAGCGCGCTTAATTTCAAGTCTTGCACCTCTTAGTTATCACTCCAGCAGCACGCTGCAAACGATATAAGAAACTGACATTGCAGTACTTGGTATCGCTACGTTAGTTCTGTTATTTAAAGGTACGAATAACGTAATTAACGCCTCTACCGGCGAGTAGTAATTTGCGTAAACTGATAATCATGTGATCAAACGTGACTCTCTTAAAGGCTTATGCACAAACCTGCTTGCTCTTGCTTTCAAAGCTTCCCTTTAAAATTTTAAAACCAAAATAACTGCCGTAACCTGGAAAGGGAATTGGAAATATACCACACAGCACGCTTATATATGCATTATATAATCATTATGATCAGTTTGTTGAAGCAATCTCTCCGCGC